TTGTTTTGTCATCTTTTATTTTACTTTTTCTTGAATCAAATACTCAATAACTTAAGTCGCGTTTAGACCAAATAGTTGATTCCTTTATTGTCCATATTGTGCGAGGATTTTTAATAGGTCTATAAGTAATGCTGTCTACTTACTTGTCTATACTCTTAGTTACGAGGACCCTGAGAAATGATGACTAGATTCTGATATGAAAACAAGGGACAGTATGGAAAATAGCATTAGGAAAATTACATGGGAATACGGTACTTGCTAGCATTTTAGTGATATAAAAAAAAAGTGAAAATACATCTCAATGTTAGTAGTATCTTTACTAGAATATTTGACAATGTTTCTTTGATGATGATGATGCTGTCTTTATGGTGTTTTGTTCAAATGGGAAACCTTGTAAAATATATTTATTCAAACAATATTTTATCTGTCAGCTTCCTGACGAACGAAGGCTAGATTTGCTCAAAGCCCTTGCAGAAGTTTCACCTTACACAACTCCACAAGATTCACGTCAGATTCTTCCTTCTGTTGTTCAGCTGTTAAAGGTACCATTCCATATACTCAGAATTATTAGGAAATGGACTATGTAGTGTGAAGATCCAACCTTTAGACTACTCTCCACAATTGGAATCAATGTTTTCAAAGCCAATGCATACCACACGGCGTTTTATTACCCGAAAGACAAGGCACAAGCTTTTTGGGATTCAAATTATTACGATCAGAATAAATTTAAAACAGGTATTCTTGTATTAGTTATAGTTCAACCATAATAAACAATCTCAGAATGATATCCAATTATTAGCAGAGGGCACCTCAAGGTGGTTCTCTGCTGCCTTGCTATCAGGTGTGCCTCAATTGGGCCTCTAAAAACACTGATTAGGATTGATATGTTTGCCTTCACTCTTTGGATAGCAGTATCAATATAATTGTTTAATTGGTTCCAGGGCTGGATAACAATACCATTTTCTGAGTCATTTTTTGTATATTGTCTTGTCGCAAAATAATTATCATCTATTCCTTTTTGTTTTTACAGAAAAACATGCCTCGGAGAAAGACTGGAGAGGAGTTTAACTTCACTTATGTAGAATGCTTGTTGTACACATTTCACCATCTTTCTCACAAGGTTTGTTTGGCTTCTAATCAACCTCTTGTTAATACTACTGTGAATCAACATTGTGTAGTGCTTACTTGACTGCTTTATGAAATAGGTTCCAAATGCTACTAACAGTCTATGCGGTTACAAGATAGTGACTGGACAACCATCTGATAGGCTTGGGGAGGACTTTTCAGAGCAGTATAAGGAATTTACTGAGAGGTGGTTTTTTTTCTTCTCCATCTATCTTTTATTGCTTATTATTATAGTTTATATGATTTCTTTGTCATTTCGCATCCAATATAATTGGGCCCTAGCTCAGGTGGTGGTGAATTATGGCTTTTTTCCCCTGGTGGTGAAAAGGCCCAGCCTATCCACACAATAGCAAGTTTTAGTCTTTTAT